ATTAATTTTAAAATATGACAAAACTTGGTAAATGGGAAAAAGACATTAAAAGCATCTTTTAGTTTTAAGAGATTTGATTTTGTATGTTATGCCTGATTATGCTTCTGAGGGAAGTTAGCCCAGAGGAGGAAATATTAAAAAGGCAGAAAAATATATTTTTCCTCAAAAGGACTTTTTAAAGACCAAACCTGGCTCCAGATCTACCTCTCTGCCCCAAGCAAGACTTTAGCCCCATACAAATGCAGATGTAAAACCATCAGATAATTGAAGCCAGATCAACCAAGAAGACAAAAGAGAAGATCTGCATACCCCACCCAAACTCTAGGAGTCATTAGCCCCATCACCTGGGAAGCAGGATATGATAATAGGATTAAACCACAGATATCAAGGCCTAGACAAACACTCAGAAACAGCCTCAAGGTTCATGCCACAGGAACAGGAAACTATTCCAAACAAGGCTAGAGAGGGTATAAAAAACCTACTGCCCATGTGCTCAATCTCTTTCCTCTCCTCTGCTCCTTCCTGCAAGGACCATCTTTCTGCTTCTTCAATAAACTGTAACCTTCTTCCCAAAGCAGTCTCCATGTTGCCTATTTATTCCTGGCTTGGATGAACCAGTATGAAGACTTACTTCTAACACTTATTTTCTAAGTTCTATTTGCTAAATGACACCTCTTACATAAAAATATGAGTAAAGGCCCTGGGATCTGGTGAATAAACAACCTTTGAGTTTATAACAAAGGGCAATTTTTGGTGCAGTGTAAATTATTGGATTTTCCCAGTTTTTGCCAAGAAACTTATAGTGTGGCTTTCAGCATTTGCCTGCTCAATGTTCAATAAGTTTCTGGGTAACCTATCTTTGTGGTTATGTTCAGGACAAAATAGATACATATTACAAAGAAAAAGTTAATATAAACTACAAGCTCTAATAGTAAGATTTGCTCTCTGTCTGTCTGTCTGTCTGTCAGTCTATCTGTCTGTCTCTTTCTGCAGGTTACCATATAACCTGAATGAAAATATACACAAAACACATACTATATATTACAGTATAGTACCTAAATTATGTTACAATACAGTACAATACATATTATAATTAATTAATTATAGCTGCCTGTTCCCATAGATTTTTGGACAATTTATAATTACAACACAAAATAATAAAAACAGTTAAGTCTAGACTAAAACAATCAAACAATAAGACATCAAACCATGGCCCCCACAAGGACATCAACCTCAGACCTGAGACCAGGTCTTAAGACTTTTTTGAAGCCCTAGGAGAGAGGGTGCTATCCGCCCTCTTTGGAGGGTGCTGTTTCAGAAGGCAATAGCTACAACAGAGAAGGCATACTTCCTTAATTCTCTAAGATGACAATATTTAATATAAGGGACCTGGAACGTACCCACTCTTCTGGAATCTATCAGTTGGGCAGAAAAAGTTGGAGATAGGCATCTTTCAGAGGTCCAAGCCATAAAGAGTTTTTTCTAAATAAGGGCCTGAAACCTCAACTGTATCCAGAAGCTGACTGGTAACCAGAGCAGCTCACTCAGTAGCCATATCATATGGACATACTAGAAAGTGCCTATTATTTTCACACTTACGACCATTGTAGCATCCCCATGGTCATGTGATAAAAATTAAGACACTTGGCAACTGGCATATATTTATGACTGTTGCAGGGTCCTGGGGTCATGTGATCACCTTTTTCAACCTTCTGACAAGTAAAATCAATGGGGAAGCCAGATTCACTTAACTACATTACTAACTCAACAACTTGCAGTGATTCACTTAGCAACTGTGGCAAGAAAGCTCATAAAACTGGACAAAACTCACTTAACAACTGTCTTGCTAAGCAACTGAAATGTTGGGCTCAGTTGTGCTCATACGTGGAGGACTATCTGTACAGCTTCCAAATAACAAAAACAACAACAACAAAAATAATAATAAAGTTGGAAGGGACCTTGGAGGTCTTCTAGTCCAACTCCTTGCTCAGGCAGGAAACCCTATACCATTTCAGATCTTCAAGAGGAGCACCATGTAAACTATACCTAGGTAAAAAGAATGGTATATGGCAGTGGTGGTGAACCTATGGCATGCGTGCCAGAGGCGGCACTCAGAGCCCTCTCTATGGGCACACGCACCATCATCCCAGCCCTGCCTCCTCCCACAGCCCCCTCCTCCCCAGCAGCCCCCCTGGAGAACAGCCCCCGGGTGTGGCCCACGCAAAGCAGCACAGCCAAGGACATGCACAGATGATGTTGTGGGGCACGGGCAGAGGGCATGGCTGCCATGGCGCTGCTGGGCTGCCTTGGTGATCTGTGGCAGGTCATGGAGGTGGTGGGTGGCCCAGTGGGCAGGGTGGAGCAGGGACAGGGGTGGGGGGCAGTTTTGGGGCACTCGGTCTCTAAAAGGTTCGCCATCACTGGTATATGGAGTTATGATGTGAGCTTCTTAAATTTTAATCAGCGTTCACCCAGGCCAGTAGCTAAATGGATGTTCTCTGCAAAAAAGCTTGAGTTTCCAAGAAAGCTGTGATAACCATGAAGTATTGATTTTGAGGAAACATTTTCCATTTCCCATTTACAGTGTACTACAGAGCATAAGAGAATGGATTCAATTAAGGTGGTGTTTGGACACTTGACCATATACGATAGTGATTTCTAGATTCATCATCATCTAGTAGAAATCAGGCATAAACCAAAATGATAGAAAAAGAAAACATGTCACAATGTCATGACACACAGAACATTATTTCCAGTTTGCAGCACAACATATGCCTCACACTTCATCCAGCCCTGGTCATTCTGTACAGACACCTATGTAACCATGTTTCTGCAATAGCCAAACCGAAATCCTGCCACCGTTCTTCCTATGTTTTAATCTCCAGGCCTTTAATCATCTTAATTGCTCTTCTCTGCACTATTAGCTATTAGCTCTCCCCCGAGCCTGCAAGGAATCCTACCTTTTCAGCAACCTCAGGCAACAGAAAGAACACAACACAATAGCTCCAGGAATTGTGAGAGAGTTTGAGTTTCTTTGTAAAATATATGCTAAACATATGTAGCATAGCTGTGCAAGCACAGTATCTCGCTGAGTCTTTTTTCTGACTTCTGAGCAAGTGTCCCCCTCCCCCGAAAAAAGATGCTGCTGCTTTTAGGAGTTTTCTTATTAAAGTGAGTATGACTCTTAAAACAGCTGCATCCCTTTACAACAGTGGTTCTCAACCTTTCTAATGCCGCGACCCCATAATACAGTTCCCCATGTTGTGGTGACCCCCAACCACTTATAATCACCGGGTGCCAGGGGTGTGGCCAAAGAAAAGGGGAAAAAAATGGCGGACAGCCTTGTTTGGCGACTCCTGTGAAATGGCCATTCGACCCCAAATGGGGTCCCGACCCACAGGTTGAGAACCACTGCTTTACAAGCTTGGCCTGAACTCTGGGAAAAAATCAGAGCGGTGCTGACCTTGTGCATGTATGAAGTTGGTGTCATTGCTTTGGAACCATTTTTAAAGTATGCACTAATATTTGAGAATGTATAGTGGAACATAGTGGGGTTTTTTTTGCACTTTATTAAACAATACCTGGAATCTATAACTATTTGAAAGTTCAAGAATGGACATTGCATTATCAGCCAGCAACTCCTACATATAAAAATGTATCATCTTGAAACCTACCATTTTAAGAATTTTTGAGTCTGTTGAGTCAGAGACCAGCAGAGTTTCATAATGAAGCAGCACCAAGAATTTGTTTTTCTGGTATTTCAGAGAAAACTTATTCCCTGAAAATGTTACATGTGAAGATAGCAAGTAATTATTGGGATGGGACCTACTGACAGTTTTCTCCCCTTCCCCCCCCCCCAAAAGAGTGGATGCAGTACAGTGGAGCCTTGCTGGCTAAAGTGCAAATATCAGTGCAAATATTTTTAGGGTATATTAATAAACTTAGAAATATTTTTGTTATGTGCCATTTCCTGTTTATCTCAGAGAAATACTTTGAAATGATCCACAGAAAGGTGGTAGGGACAGAAATTGTCAATGAACGACTCATTAGAAGGTAATTTATTTCAAAACTTTTAAAACACAATAATCAGTTAAAATATTTTCCAGAGTTGCTGATAAAGTTTAAGAATAAGAGAGATAAAGCCTTAAAATCTTAAATACACCAGATAGAGGGGAAAAAAAGAGGAGGAAGAGGAGGAGGAGGATGATTTTTTTAGGAGCTAAAGAACTAAAGAGAAGCAGAGATATGGGGTAGTTTCTAAGTTACTAAAATAAACCACCTTGTTTGAAATATTTGAAATTCTAGTCCGGGATTTTGGAAGTAATAGGAAAATAAGCTATATGTGGGCTTATTTTCTAGCTACATTATGGATTCATATAATGAAGCATGGTGTCTGAACAAGTATGCTAATTTAAATATATTTTAAAGGAAAAGTAGCATTATGATCAAAGTTTCTTTATCTGAAAATAGGGCTGCTTGCTTTCACAATGATTCTTGCTTTACATTGTATAAAATAGATGAATGCAAATGATAGGAATATATTTACATTTCAATACTGATAATGAGATTCACATGGCAAATAATATCTTGACTATAGCTATGTTCAGAGTTGCTAAGATAACACAACAAATTCCTTTGAAATTATTTTTTAAATACAAATGGTTCATCTCTCCAACTTTATGCATATTGATTCAGAATAAAATTCCTCCCAAATTAGGAGGATGTAAAGGATTAACATTTATATCTATTGTTCTGCCCTGAATAAACAGCTTAGTCCTATTTACTTCTGTAATAGACAGCCCCTTTTCCTCTCCAGGCAAGAACAAGTCCTTCTGGGACAAAATTTGGTTGAAACAGCTGGAAGAAGGGATATTGTCCTTGATTTGTTGAACAAACTATATTTGTCTTGGCTCATGTAAGACTCAACTAACATCAGACAAGCCATACAGTATGTTTGTGAACTGCTGGAAGTGCTGCTTTAGTGTATTTGTATTTATGAACAAGAACAGTCTTTGTTTCACAGATCAGTTTGAAACAGCCAACTTGTTCATCCAAGTGGGAGTTTTATTTTCCATCTGAATATCTGAAACTTCATTCGATTTAAAACAGCAACAACAATTTACTGTAAGTTATGAGAGATGGCTTAATGGAAATATATTTAAGCTTATTAGGGCAGTTTTCATGTTTCTGAATCCTAGCTGCAACAATAAATAAAGAAGTTCACCTGTAAATGTGTTAATATCGGAGTCTGGCAGAATTCTCATTTTAAGGAAATTGATTCGCCTTCAGTCCAACATTGGAAAACATTTTAGGAGCTGATGAAATATACTGAGATTTGTATAGTGTAAAGCTCGTCTAACTGAAATCAAAAAGTTATTTTTGATAACTTTTTTATTTATTTATTTTTTTGGTACAAACTCAGTTTCAGATATTGTCTCTTATGTTTTGTAAAACTGCCTTTTTTCAGATTACAGATGTGATAAGGATGCCTACATAACTGATACATGAATCTGTAGTACTTCCAGGATGATATACAGTCAGTAGCAAATCGAAAATTTCAGTCTTCAAACTGATGATGCCTCTGTTGTATAATTGCCCTGCCTCATCATGGGATTCTTCATTCATACTGAATCCTGAATGTTACATTTTTCCATTTGTATAACTCTATGTTTTCCCACAGATTCTTTCAAGATACGGGTGTCAAACCTGTGATATCATGTGACGTGTTGCGATGTATCATGACTTTTTCCTCATTGCCGGCAATGGGATGGGCACGATTTTGGCGTGACGCATCCAGCCCATGGGCCAGCAGTTTGACACCCCAGTTTCAAGAGCTTCTTCATCAATGATCAACAGTATCAGAAGAGCAGGTGTGACCAGGCAAAGCCCCAATTCTTTTCACGTGCATCACATATATATCAAACACATATAAAAGAGGTAGGGCTACTATAATTGTAGTCTTGCTTATTACTTTGACATACATGACCATTCCAGAAGATACACCTAGATTCCTTAATCCTTTTTCTTACCCTTGAAAATCACTTACAGGTAACGCTTAACTTATGACTACAATTGGGAATGGAATTTCTGTCACTAAGTGATCAGTCATTATGTGAATCTTCAATATTATGCCCTTTTTTGCCACAGTTGTTAATTGAATCACTTTGTTGAGTGAATCCAGTTTCCCCTATTGACTTTGTTTGTTGAAAGTCAATTGGGAAGGTCACAAGTGGTGATCACATGATTGCTTGGACTCTCTGACAGTTGTAAGTGCAAGCTCTGGTCGAAAGTCACTTTTTTTCAGTGCTGTGTAACTTTGAATGGTTGTTAAAAAATGGTTGTAAGTCAAGATTACCTGTAACGAGGAAGGAACAAACAAATAAACAATAACCTTTAGATTGGTAGCACTAACAGTTCTCCACCCAAAGCATTTTTCTTCTTATTGATGGCCTCCTCCAGTGAACATGAATCAGGTCAAAAGTTTAACAATTGCCAACGTTTATTATTTATATCAGCCATCAAAGTTAGTTTATTCATTAATAAACTTATCTTGCTTACTCCATTTCATCAATTGTTTCAGAAGGCATACAAAATTCATTACCATTTTATAAAAAGTGAAAAACTTCATACAATCTAAAAAGAAACCACAGATAAATCCATTACTATTTGTAAACTGACCCACTGTACACTATTCATTCTTACTTCCTTCTGCAATACATTCTGTAATGGTGATATTGAAAGGTAGATAAACAAGTCTGTTTTTAGTCAAGCTTGACAGCTCATGACTTCATGGTCATATTTGTATTGTTCTCTTGGCAATCTGGAAATAGTTTGCTTTTGCCTTCTTCTGGGATGTTGTTGTTTGCTTTTTTTCTACCATATGGATTTTACCTCTCATCCAGGTTCTGATCAAATCTGAACCTTTTAAGGTTTTAAGATTAAGCAGGTTTGGCTAGGTGCTGTCATCTAACTGGCAAAGCAGCGACAAAAAAATTTAAATGGGTCAAAGGTGATACAATTTTCTGTTAAGTTACTGATGTCCTGATATATTGTCAGTTGTGATTCTAAAATGCACTAATAACCTTCAAATGTAAGCTTATTGCATTTGCTTTCAAATCCAGTGACATTCTAAGCTTTGGGGTTGGGATGTCAAATCACTGCAAATGTGGGAGTTACATAGCTAGAATTGCTAATGCTGTATTCAGTTTCTCATGCCTAACTTAATTTCCATTAAGATGTCCTTGGAAATCATGACAGAGCCTGGATTGGTTTTCATTGAATGGCTGTGTTAAGATATTCCAGTTTGCATGATCACCTATAGTTGCATACTTAAGGACTGATTTTGCAATTGGTGAACTGCTATTCCTTTTCTGGAGTGGCTGTTTTAGGGACTGCTCCACCAAGAAAAACAATGCATGTGTCATTTCACTGCTCCTATTCATCACTTGTACACACCTAGATTGTGTCGAATGTCAGCCATCTGCTGCAATATTTGTGGAAAGAATAACAAACACATCACCCACTGTTGCTATTTTCCAAGTCTATACAAAGTGCGCAATGAAGGGAAGTATTAACATATATATTTCCTTCAGACACAGGAAGCTGACTATGTATGACATTAAGATGAAAATCTTACCTAAAGAGGTACTTGAATATGTATGTGTTTGTGTGTGAGAGGAAGAGAGAATGAGGGAGGGAAAGGAATGTAGCATGCAGATGAGGCCCATGTTATGCATGATTTACCATTAAATGCAAAATAGTAAAGGGGAGCTACATCTTAAACTGATCAATGGCAGTGAATTTATTGGTTTAAATAATAAACATTGCTGAGTTCAGACCTTCTAATTGCTGTTTGCTTCAACAAATAAGTTAGTGGTTATTCTGCTTCCTGGCTGACATCCTGACAAGTACAGCACAGCCATACAAGGAGACGCTTCCATGTAAATCAGAATCTAGATTTCTAGATCACATGGAGTCTGCAGCTACTTTATACCATGTTGACACATGCAGGTACAATCTCTGCAGACACTGGACTATAATGTGAGTCCTCAAGGGAAGAGTTTCTTGACATGTGCTGTGATGGCCAGAATTGGAACATTCAAATTAATTGAGATAGTTTGGGGTATAATGTCTTGCTTGGAAATAAGAAATGACAAAATGAAGTTTTTGCCAGAAATTTCTTTTCAAGATAGGAGGAATAGGAACTATTTTCCTGCCTCCTAATTCAGAACAACTAGCTTTCACACTATGGCTGGAAATGATGTAGTGGCAAGTATTCAAAGGATACCCAGCATCAAGGTCTCACTGTCATCCTTACCTGCTGAGAATGAGGGAAAGGATAGATACAGTATGAAGGGATGGAGATATACAGAAAAGAACTAGGAAAAGTTTGAGAAAAACTGAACTCATTAAAAGATGGAGACTGACTGATTTGAGCATTTATATTATGTTTTCATGTTTTAAAAAATGTCATTATATATGTATGTATGTATGTCCATGTGATCTATCTATCTATCTATCTATCTATCTATCTATCTATCTATCTATCTTATCTAGCATCTAGCATCATCTTATTAACTGCTTATCTCCCTTACAAAGGGGCTTTTGATTTTTAATCCTATCTCTCCCACTCAGAGTTGCAATTGAGAGTTGGGCAGAAATACAATAATAATAAAATGAGCAATGAATAAAAATATATAAAAATAAAAACACAGACAGATAATTGTTTACTAAAACTTTCAAGATTTTAAAGATGTATAAATACTGTAGAACAAGTTATTTGACAGTACAACCCTGTATATATTACATAGAAAGACTCCTCATGATGTTCAGCATATTTATATAATGAAAATTTGTTTTTTGGAGAAGTGAGAAAGAATTTTCTTGGAAGAAGGAACTGTATTTTTTAATTATTTAGTTTGGAAAAACACAGAAAGAGACAGAAAACTGACAGCAAGAAAAGACCCAGTGATCCACCCTTTGAGGTTTTGTTTATATATTATTTTAATATTTATTTTATTTTATTATTATTTATTTTATTTTTCACATTTTTGTTGGATGATAAACATCTGTTTATCCCAAACATGTTTACACTCACTGATGATTAACCTACTACCTCAACTGGAAGTTGGTTTTAAGCTTTCATTACTCTTTCTATGAAACAGCTCTGTTCTCATATCTGATATATGCTTATTTTTTTCTCCTTTATTTACATTGGCTGTGAACCAGAGTGGCTTCTTTTTCTTTTACTAAGGTGCCTCACATAGAGACTAGTTGCCTCTAAGATGGTAGATTTTATCAGCGTCCATTCCTGTCACTTTATGCCATCCTTCAAGTTTATGTTTTAGATACTCCCCCATTTTGGTAAAATATGTCTTTTTGAAGTCTAAAACTTTAGTTTTAATATATGTTATATCAGTTTTAGTTTTAATACCAAATCAAAGACACTTACTGTTTGTAAGTGCAATTGAAAGATTCCAATTAATGTTGGGCATGTCAGAGTCACCCCTGATTACAACTTGTCCCTTCCTTCTTTGCCTTCTGGGTTATCTTCTCAGCCAGAATGCTATCATAAGAGATTCAAGGGGGCATGGCTATAATTTCAGAATATTATTGAAGTATTTAAGACAGGATAGCAGGATTTAGCAGAAAGAAAGGATACCTTAACTTAATCTTTGTCCTATCAATCCTACAACAAGAAACCCTGGATAATATGTTTGCAGATTCTAAGGCCTCCATAGGTAAAGTTCAAGGATTAAGGCACCTATTCTGTCCAATTAAAGCTTTTTAACTACTCCACACAAGAAGAGGTCTAAAATGTTGGCTCACCAGGACTCAGTGTGACAAGGAAAAAACAATTTTATATTATAAAAATAAATATCCATCACCACTGACCTTCATTAGCCATTGATTACATCTATAACATTTCTTTTAAACAAGAGAGGGAAAGCATGAGAAACATGGCTTCTGAATACTTCTGAAACCCGTAATAACAGTGCCTCTCAGGATACCATGACTAGGAAGGAAAAGGAGTAGCATGGAGGAGTTGGCATGTTTCAAACTACTGCCCCAATGGCTTCTCCAATAGGGAAGCACTGGAATTCCCCCTGCCCCCAATTCCCAGTCAGGATGTGGTCCATTTTCAAAGGTAATCTTTCTTGTTTCTTTGTTTCCAGTCTTTTTAGTTTTCAGAGAGTTATCCTGCTGCTGGACAGACAGAGAGATGGATAGTTGGAGTACCAATAATCCTGCTGAGAAAGTCAAAAGGACTGAGGAGGAAGACCACTGTTGTTTAAGATCACTGAAGGGACATTAGATGTGCCAGATATGAGAAGTCCTCTGTGTTGAGTGGTGGGAAGCTCAGGCAACCTAAATGTTGCATTGTTACTGTTGTCATATTGGTAGGGAATAAAAAAGATGCATTCTGGCCATTTTAAAAAATTGATCAATCAATCCAAGTTGCCTGTACATTTTCACTATAAATAAGCTGTTTACTACACTTCAAAAAGCTATCTTGTCTTGCCTCCTAGGGAGAGTAAGGGGAAAGAAAAGATTTATAAAAAAGAAACATCAGGTTAAAAAATGGGGAGGGATTTGGGTCTCTTTCCTCCCAGCCTATAAAGAACCATTCTTCCACTAAACACAGATCAGCCCACCTCATTTCCATGGATTGCTCTTTAACTTTTTTTCTTACTCAACAGCCTCTTCAAGGCCACAGTGTTGTCTGACTTTTTCCCCCTGCCAGTATACATGCAGCATTTCAGGAATTCTCTTTTCTTCTTCATGCAAGAAAATGTGTTACTTGACATTTCAACTCTATTTTCCCATGTCTTCCTTTTACTCTGTTGTGTCTTCCTTAGCTCATTTCAGGTTACATTCCGTCTCTCTCCTCTCTCTATATCTGTTTTGAATAATAGCAATGTAATTCAAATTGTTTTAATTTTTTCTGTCCATTTTCCTTTCACTTTTTTTCCTCAAAGTGTTAGCCTCCATCTGCCTGTCATCATTGCCTCATAATAATGTCTCGATGACCTCATGCAACTCAGAAACATAGCCAGGGCCAAACAACTTGCTCTCTGAAGTGGAATATCCTCTGATATCTCTCATCTAAAATCATAACATTCCACAGAAATAAGATGTTCAATGAACACCATTCCTCTTTCATGGCATCAAAATTGGATGTTTGAGCATGGTGACTCATACTTCCTAATGGTAGGACTGGCTTTTAGTTATTAAATGTCATCTTTCTAAACATTGTGCACTCAAGTAGCTAACTTCTTCCAGTCATTTTGGTGAATAAAGATGGCTGAAGGCTAACTTTTTACTCTGAGATGCATGCCACTTCAGTTACCATTTGAATTTCCCAGTTTAATAACTAATATTATGACTCTATGATGAAGTTACATATTGAATGAAAGCTTCTGTAAGTTAAGACATATTATATGTGATAATATTTTTCAGAATTGATTATTGGATCTCCATCCCAGAGAAATTGGAGTTCTCATACTAAAAGGTTATTGAAGCTAGCAAAATGATGATAAATAAATATTACATATTACCAAAAGGTTGCTAGGTAGAATAATGAACAAGTGATGTTTTTAAGTCTAAAAGCTAGCAGATGCTGTTTAGCTGGGATATTTGTGAACCTGTGCCAAGAAAACATATGTGTACTACCTAACAGTTAAGCACACACCAGCAAACAAAAAATGTTGCTGAAGAAGATGCAAGATAATCATGAATTTCTTCTCATCAGATAATAAAATGATTCTGCTGTTTAGAACCATTGGCTTGTAACACCATAGCTGGCCAAATAAATGAATTGTCAACAACCTCAGTATCAGAATTGAAATCTAGATTGACTGCCAGGAGCGAGATACATAATAATCACCCACCCTTTTCCCACTATAGTTTCTTAAATGTACAAATAGGAATTTCTCATTCAAAAGGCAATTCAAGGCACATTTACCTGGAGAGAATCCCCACTGAACTTAACAAGATTTACTTTTGAGACAGCATGCATGTGTAACATTGGGCAGCCATAAATTAAAAAGGCCAACTCTGAAAACAATATATTTTGTTTCTAGGTTACTCTTAGCAATAGCTCTTCTGCTTCATTCCTAATTCACTGCAAGACTGCTGGATGAAACTTTGGCCTTGTGACTTGCTGCAATTGAAATGATCAATTTGTTGACATAGCCTTTCTGATATATTTTTCTCTTCCCTTTAGTGCTTTATTTTCATCAAGGGAACTGCAATGAGCTCTCATCCTCTGATTCTTCTTTAATGGAATTCTCACAAAACCATACTATCCTTTCTTTTTATTTTTTTTTCTTATAATCAGGCACCATAAAAACCTGGAACATTTTCTTCTCCAGATAATCAAGCAATTCACATTTTAAAAGCAAGTTATACTTGCAGTAGTCACTAATAGTACTTCTAAGATTTTTCATTAAACCATCCATGAATGAATCATATATTTGGAAGTTTGTTAGAAAATATGAACTTCCATCTAGGTATATTTATAACATTTATTTTTGTGTGTGTTATTACTAACATTTGCTACCATGACTTGACATGAAACGCATTGTCTAACAAACATTATACTCATCTTCACATCAACCCTAAACTAAATCTTGTTGATACTCTGGAATGATACAGGTCAGAGTCTAAAGAATCATCTTTTCAGGTGCCACGGAACAAATCACACATTTCAGGTCGGTTAAAGAAATAAAGATATGAGGAGTGAACCCTTCCCTTTCTTGTAATACATATATATCTGTAAGCCTAAGCTGAAATTCTTAAGGATATTCACAATTTAAATCTTAAACACACTCACCGACAGATTGAAGTACAATTTAACCAATTGTGTGCAGTTTCACGCCAGCTCAGATTAGCTCAGTATGTTGTCTGAGGGTCAGTGAATAAACCATGGTTAGGTCAACTATGGATACACATGCATGAACACAGCCATTAAGCAAACCCATTAAACATAGTGGAATTTACATCACCTGACAATGTTCTGTTTTCTGCAGAGCATTCTATTTCCTAGCTGGCCATTTTCCTGTCTGGCTGTCTTCTTTAGTGCACTTACCTTTTAACCCCCAAAGAGCTGTGATTTGCCCAGGAGGGAGCCAGCATTTCTTGCCTTATCCTCCTCAAATTATTAACCACAATATTCTTCATAAGATGAAAAGCACTCTTCTCTTCCAAAAATCCCACAAAGCTGGAAAAAAAGACCTCAAAACACTTCATATTTGTGAGCCAGGAGATTAAAATTTCAAAGAACACCTCAGTTTCTTGCTGAAGTTGAGTAATAAATGCATTGTGCCTGTTATTCAAAGACATTTTCCCAATTAGATATTTCTCTCAGTAAGGATTAGCCTTAGGTTGCCTAAGAAAAACAGCTTATCCATGTTTTGTCATTCTTCAGATAAAAATATCACACTCAACTTTATATATTGGCTTGGTTCCAGCCTGTTCATCATTCCATTTCCATTAGTTTCTACCATAAATACCCAAATGTATTCCTTACATGATCAAGGATCAGTTCTGTGCACCTCTCATTGTGCAGATTTCAGGATTCAGGATTCAGCTGAAAGAACAAACTGATGTTACTATGGCATGGATATGTAGTATTGCTGAAAAAGAGTTCAGAAGGATCATAACATTAAGACATAGTTAAATCTTTAATGTCACATACTGTTGATACTCTATTTCATGTTTTGGAAGGATGTTTAGGATTTTGCTTTTTCAGAAAGTCAACATTATTTTGGCTTTAATGTTTTAAGATTTAGAGGAGATCTACAGATAATTTAATTATTGCTTTTTTAAACTTATGAACCATCTGCACAGAATTCTGTACCACAAATATCACCTAATGATGCTCAGAAAAACAGTGAAAAAATATAGTAGACTATGATGCATGAAGTAGCATCCCAAGAAAATATTTCTTCAGACAAAAACGATATTCTGCTTCTAACGCAGCTGTTATCCAGAGAAGTGTTATTGTTATATAAAAAAATATTAGACTGCAGAAAAAAGAAAAGATACAGAACACAACTCAAATATATTTTATGCTTTAAGCTGATCAATAAAACCACCATGAATTAATTTTCTTGTGATTATGACTGTAGGATTCATATTTTGCAAACAAAGTTAATGGGATGTGGGAGTAGGGAATTATCTGTTCCATCATTCAATCTAAATGTCTAATTCTTGGAGACTGCCTGGACAAATCTTTGCCTTTTTCTTGGCAAGGTTTTTCAGATGTGGATTGCCATTGCTTTCTTTCTAGGGATGACAGAAAGAGACTGATTCCAGGTTACCAGTTGGCTGTATGCCTAACTGGGACTAGAACTCAGTCTCCTGGTTTTTACACCTGTGAAAGTTAAAACTCTGTTCAATACAATAAACAAAGCAGTCAGAAACTTTCTCCTACCCGTATGAAAGTTGTTTTATAGCTGTATATATTTTACAGTGCATATTAACCCAAATGTAAGGACCCACTTCAATCCCACATCTTAAGAAAGCAGAACGCTTGGAAACAACTTCTTCCAACAGGAACTTTTATTAAGAGTAGTTGATAGCAGGCATAATAGACAGGATCTGAGGGATTCTTTACAAATCGATACTTTAAAGGGTCCCTAAGCAAACCCCACCCCACAGTTCATCCAGACGGTTCAGACTGGCCAATCCCCAGGTGTTAAGTCCATCGTGGGAAAGGGAAGATAACATTGGTCCGGCTCCGTTTGTAATACGATGTTCCAGAGTTCTTCACACCTCCTTTTGAGACCGGAGAAATAAGCCAGGTTCCAGATGTTTGTATTTCTTCCCCCCCCTTTCCTAACTGCCAGGTTAGGGAGAAGAAACTTCAGAGAGATGCATAGTGTAGGAGGGAATTTGTTACACTGTAATGGGCAGCAGACTCAGTGGCAATAAACAAAAGGTTACATTGTAGGGAACAGAAGAAATGAAAGTTATAACCCCGCAGGCATATCCCCCTCCCCCTTGGGAGTATGGCAGAATCCAGGGGAAGGTGAGATTTGGTTCTAGATCAGAGGAGATAGATAGAGATGAAATATAAATGGATTCTGACACCCACTCTAAATAGCCCATCATCTTGGTTAGCAAAAATCAAGAAGATGGAAGCATAACTTCAAATTAACAGGAGGGAAAATCAAAAGTAATGTTAGAAAGTATTACTTCACAGAAAGAGTAGTGGAAGCTTGGAACCAGCTTCCAGTGGAGGTAGTGGGTATCATCAGTAACTGAGTTTAAACATGCTTGGGATAAACATATGTCCCTCATCCGACCAAAAATTAAAAATAAAATAAAAACAATAATTATTTAATTAAAAAGAAAATTAAAACAAAGAACAAAAAATCCTCAAAGGGCAGACTCAATGGACCACT